TCTCTCTCTCTCCCCCCCCCCACAGAGCTCTATGCCAGCAGTTATGACAATGTTAGCCGACCATGCAGCACAGCAGCTGCTGGACTTCAACCAGAAACTGGATATCAACCTGCTGGATAACGTGGTGAACTGTCTGTATCACGGCGTGGGACCTCAGGTGGGTCCTGTTCTTCCTCTGAACCCGTCCTTACAGCACAGAATGATGTTTGTGTGTTTATGTGTTTATGTGTTTATGTGTTTGTGTGTTGCAGCAAAGAATGGCACAAGAGGTGTTGACGCACCTGAAGGAGCACCCGGACGCCTGGACCCGAGTGGACACCATCCTGGAGTTCTCCCAGAACATGAACACCAAGGTAAACCGGCTCCGGTGCAGAAAGCACCGACTGGAAACACTCTTACCTGTGCTTTGAGGAAGCGTTTGCTATCACAGATACAGTTTTATTAAAACCAAAGAGCAAAGCGACCACGTGCTGTAACCCACACAGAGACAGAAGCTGTTTGTTTATGTGCTGTGACTGTTGCAGGAGTCCGATTCGTGGTCCTGCCGGTATTTGCACTCTGCCCTGACTCCTGAGCTATGCAGGACCTCCTCTGTTGGATCAGAACACCGCAGATAAACTGTGGCCACAGCGAGCTCCTGTTGGTCCAGTCGTATGTTTGTTCTGCACCCGTTTAGTGTTCAGAGGGCTCAGCACGAAGGTTCGCCACGTCGGGCTCGTACGTGTAGATTGTGACGTAAACACGCAGTTTTATTCTGTGGCCGGATGACGGAGGTCGCGAGCCGAAGCGACTGCGAGTATCGTGGCGCTCGGTTAGAAGACGTTAGACGATACGTCGAACCGGGGAGCCGACAGCGCCGCGCTCGCATCGCAGCTTAGAAGGTCTTTGTTGTTATCTGTTATATATAAAAGTGTTTGTATTCAGCGAGTAGAAAATGACTTCTGAGCTGTTACTGTAACTGCTCGTCGATTAAGATTCGATGTGTTTGTTTATATAGAAACAAGAAAAGCTGCTTTAGAAGAAGAATGAAACTCTCACTTCAGCGCGTCGCCTTCAGTTTCAGCGCGGACGTAAACGGCGTTACTACCAGTTAATGTGTTCTTGAGCGGTTTTAATTAATAACCGCAATAAATCGATGAGTGAGGAATCATTAACCAGCTCCTCGTCGTCGTTTGCAGTCCTCAGATTTGGGTTGTCGTGTACATTGTGCCCCCGACAACAGTCCAGACCCACTGAGGGATTCACAATGACATTAACTGAGAGACATAACGAACGTCCGTAAACTGCAGTGCATCCCCAAACTTCCTCAAAGTACACAACCTGACATTTGCCTTTTTTCTCTTTTGCTTGCCTGTGAGATTTTGCTTTTAACACTGACATTCATTACTAATGTCTGAGTTGATGTATCAACAGTCCTTTTAAAAGGGGTCATTAGAGGAAAAGAGGGAACAAAAGGTAAAAACACCTCTTGAATTCTGCATTTATCTTGTTTCATTAAGTTAAAGTGCGCATCCTTTCAAAGCACTTTGAACATTTGGCTTTTTTTCTTTAGTAATTACAGTAATTATAACATTTGACAAAAACTGTAATGAATTCAAGCTGTGACTATTTGATATTAATCACGATGTTCCATTATGTTTATGGCTTGTAATAGGAAGAAAAGGGGTGTGTCATCCTGTGCATCATGACACAGCTAGGCTTTGACGGCAGGCCTCCACAAGGTCTACCCTTTTTAAATTCCCTTTGACTGAATTCTGTTCATCCGTTTCTATTGCATCTGTTTCATTGGACAGAGGGAGGGTGCAGGCTGCAGTCAGTAGGATCCACAGTAGAGATCTGTTGATGGCTTCATTTCACCTGTAGGGATCATGGCTCTTCCTCTTTTTATTTTACAGTGCATCCTCTTCCTCCTCTCCCCCTCTCTTCCCCTCCGTTCTCCGGCAGAAACCCTTGTTTTTTATTTATAATAATAATGTGCTTTCTCCAGCTATAAGCGTTTGGCAATTTAACCGCCCCGTAATTTCTCTCTCTTCTTACCTCTTGTGGTGGTTTGTGCAAAGCGTGGCAGTTAAAGGTGAAACTAAATGTTTCCCCCGAAATGTGCGACACCTGTGAGGAGATTTCCCCCTTTAATCCCTCCAGCACCCATCGTCTGTAGCACACTGTTAATCCTGCTCTGATAACATACTCTACTACATGTCACTCTTTATTACTTTTGAATCTTTGTACTGATGATCCCTACAGCTGAAACAGTCAGTTGAAGTAACACTAGATCAAAAACTAATTCAATAAAATGTTTTTTTTTCTTCATGCTTCACTATTAAGCAATCAGAAATTAATCCAGGGAATAACCTGTGGTTGGTCTTGCTGTTCCTTGTGACACACCAGTTAAAGGGATCTTATTCAGGCTCACCTTTAGACGTCAACCATAATCTATTTTAGCGTTGGGGAAATTTGACTCACATGGTTTCGGGTTGGGTATCGATGAGACTTTATTGGTTTGGATCCCGCTCGTCGGTTCTGGTTCTGGTTAAAGTGCTCGTTCAGATTCTCGGCATGCTGTTGGAGTAATAACAGAAACCAGAGAAACCACCTTTATTTCAACTGATTTTACAGCGGTCATAAACAACAAGGTATTTTGTTTGTTAGGGAGAAAAAACAAGATGAATATTTAAATGATAATATGATCCCCCGGGTCGAGTTTTGGAGAAAAGTTTATCGGCAATCGTCTTTTTTCTTATAATCTTTAGAAAAAAGCAACGTGCACAAATTTGACCCTTCGGTTTGTGGAGTCTCGTTTCGAAGCCTCGTGTTTGGCGTTATGAAGAACACGGTCGATGGTGTCGGTTCAGTTGTTCAGAGGAGACTTTAAATGCTCGTCGTGATATTCACACTTTAGTCTTTGCGTTGACTCGTATTTTAAATACCATATTTCGATGCTTCAGTCAGAAGACCAGCAAATATTCAAAGCTTTGGTGCTTTCAGGGGTTTTATGAGACAGGAACGCAAACGCAAAAACCCCGATCTAGAGCCGGTGTTTGGTTTCTCCAGGAGTCTCACTGTAAGGTCGATTATACACGAATGAAAACACACCGATGAATGTTACGTTCAACAGATCCTCCTAAATGTGACACACCGGACCTTTAATCTGCTCTCTGCTCCTCTCTCTCCTGAGAATGTGATCGAGCTCTCTGCACACCGCCTCGCCCCGCCCGCCTCGCCGTCTGTTGACTTCAGTTGTCAGCAGTATGTTTTCTAAAGTCGTACAAAGAAAGCACAACTCCATTTTAGATCTTGTTCCCCGCGGCAGCAGGTGAGCCGTGTGTCGCTCCATGGAAACGATCAGAAGTGAAACCAACGTGGTACCGAATACTTCACCTGGTTCTCCTCCGGGTTCTCCTCCGTCTCCACAGGTTTAAAGCACCAACTGTTTGATTAGACTTGTTGGAGATGAACTGCGCCTCCTCTGAAGGCAAAACTAGGATCATCTGTAGTTTGCTCGGATGTTCGGATATATAAGTAAACTTTATTATCATTATCAACCACACGATGTTTGGTAACAGATTAAACCTTCATTGCACAACAACAGACATAAAACACACAATTAAATGTTAAAAGCACACAGAAAATTAGCTAAATGTGTCGCAACTGCGGTCTCGATCTTGTGAGTTTATCGTTGTTCAAGTGTTTTACGGCGTCGGACCGTTTCTCCCTCTCGGTGCAGGTTACCAGCAGCCGTAAGTGTCGCAGAAACACAGGAGGTTCAGGAACCGCTGAGCACATTCACAGTTCTTACACACTCAAACCAGATCCACTTTAAACCAAATGAAGCTCTCGATGCCCAACCCTGCGTAGTATCTCTGGCCTCATGTAAAAGAACACTTAACGTAGACCTTGTTACGTCTTCCAGATCATTAGACTTTGGAGCAATCAGAGCCAAAGCTGGTTAATGGATTGTTGTATTTCTCTCGTGTCTTTTGCTGTCTGGTGTGATGCTGGGAGAAACAGCAGGACTTCTGCAGTGTTCAGCTTAATGCTGCTTATAGAGATTTAAAAAAAAACTACAAGTGAATGTTCTGCAAAAATCTGCATGAAAGATGTGGTTCAGTCCAATCCGATTTAGAAATGCGAGTTATTGCAGGCTGGTCCACTTCATACTGTTTTTTGGTTCGTATTAAACTTACACTATGCTTGTTGTTTGAGTGTTGTAATAGCTTTATCCTAACGCTTCTCCCTCCCTGCGTGTTACAGTACTATGCTCTTCAGATTCTGGAAACGGTTATCAAAACAAGATGGAAGATTCTTCCCAGGAATCAGTGCGAAGGTAAATCTGTGGTTTGATTCACCAAATGTTTGCGTTCTGCCAGTGCGACTGCCTTTTTAAATGTTGTGACGTGCGGTTGCCAAGTTGAGAAGTGATCCCCCACTAAGCATGCTGGTTTGTTTTCTGCTTGACTGGTTTGCACTGGTCGCTGGAAGCCAGGTTGGACTGTGCACTGCAGCAGCTGTTTTACAGAGGAAACAACCCAACAGCACTGAGTTTAAAGCTCTGTGAAGGGGCCGTCTTTAAAGGAGTCAGAGCTGGAGTTATTACTGAGCTCGCTTACAAATATTAAAGCCCACATGTGTTTGATTGCTGTGACAGTGTCTTTCAGTCTGTTTTTGTTTGTAGGAAGATAATCTCAGTGTTTCTTTCAGCCCATTCATGTTACTGTACCCACAGAGGAAAGAGGGAACGGTTGTTGGCATGGATTAATCCCTGCCGCTCTCTTTATTTATTTATATTTGTAACTACCGCCACAGGTTGCCAAAGTCAGAAATGTGTTAATCTTACACACACAGGGGCTTTAATTAGATGTCTTTGACTTTGAATTTGAAAACAGAGTGGGATGAAATTTGAGCAAAAAGCAATCACTGTGAACTACAGTTAATAATTGTATGAGTACAAATCAGCTGATTCCTTCCTCCATTCTTCTATAATCTTCTATAAAAAAGTGAATTTTCATTGACCTAAGACTTCCCTACTTCTGACCGTAGATGCCTGAATTTTGTTCAAGTGGCAAACCCAGTGCAGGGCGACCGGCAAGTATGTCTTTTCCCCCCCTTGTGTCAGAGTATTGCCATGTTTTCGGCTCCGCTCACTCACACCCCAGCACATCATTTCCAGAAGCGAGCACAGACACAGTCTAGAAAGAAATGCGAGGGAGCTGAAAACACAGTGTTGAAGATGCTCTGCTCACACTGACAATCTTGTGTCTGTGTGTCTGAACGCCTGGGGAAGTGTTACTTCCACTGAACTGAGCAAAACGTTTGCCCTACAGAGGTTCAGTGGCAGCCCACACCCATGTGTTTACCCACAGGCTGTTAGAAGTGTATGTAACTGGAGGACCACACTGCTTTTAAAGTCACATTCAGCTAGTTCTCAGGCTGTGTAAGAGTTACATGCTTTGTTTTTGGTTCATGCTGACGGTGTTCTTCTGATATCTTTGTGTGTTTGCCAGGTATAAAAAAGTATGTTGTTGGTCTCATTATCAAGACTTCATCAGATGCAACAAATGTGGAGGTGAGTAAACTTTGAATCATGTTTTAAGTAATTGTTTGTGTGCATTAGTGCAGAACGGTAACAGTTATCTGCACTGATGTGGTCTGATTTGTCCTTATCAAAGCCCAGGCTATGTTCATTGACAGCCACGTTTACAAATCAGAGACTCTCTTCTTGTTTTTGTGTTTGTTGCATCAGAGCAGCATCAGTTCTCCTCGCCAATCTCAGGACAGCCATGAGTAATGCCGGTAACCATAGTGCTATGTCGCCCAGACCAGAGATGGTGACTTCAGCTGCTTTTCAAAGTGTTTTTCAGCCAACTTGACAACCAAAGTGTTGAGTTGCTGTCTGTGTTAACAAACCAACACAGACAGCAACTTTTTAAGCCTTTCTTCCGGAGAAATTAAACAGTTTGGCGCTTTCAGGCTGAACCGACTCTTTAAAATGTGTAGAACGTATCAGCATAATGAGATTCATTAGTGATTACAGCAGCTTTCAGAAACAAGCCAAATATTCTTAAATATAATAACATTTTATTGTATTGAGGGTAAAACTGTTTTTTTGGCTATAATTCTTAAAACTAGTATAAAAATGTAGCTACAGAAAGACTGTACTGGAGATTAAAACTAGAAGAAAATGTAAGCAAGTTGTGCTACAAGCAACAAAAACTCAGTTATTTATGATAGACTTTCATAAATAAAGTATTTTGGTCACTTTATTGAGCTGAGTTTAAGTGTTGGTGGTTAAATCGAGCTGGAAATTAGCTGTAATATCTTAACACAGATATATTTTCTTAAAACCAGATTACTTTTTTATTGCAAACATGCTTAACAAGATTATTCTAGAAACTAGGCTTTTTTTCTTTATATTCTGCAGAATATCAGCAGTGAAAACTAGCACAAAGACTAAAAATATGTGTTGAAATTTTCATCAAAGTGCGAATAAAACCAAAGTTTAAATGTCGCTGTAACCAGAGCTGCCCAAAGTGGGGCCCGTGGGCCAAAGTCGGCCTGCTGCAAGGTTCATTGTGGTCCAACAGATGTTTCCAATGAAAAAATAAAAGATCAGTGAAAGAAATTAAAATATATTATAATAGTAGCTCTTTGTAATTGTTATAGACTAGACGTATAAAAAATAAGAGCGCCTATCTCTAACTGATAACACTGTCGCTGGCTGTTTGAATCCAACTGCACAGACTTTTCTAAGGTTATTTGAAAAAGTTGAGTATTTTCGACAGTAATTGGATTTGAAGGATCCTATAAACGGTCATTTATCCAAACCTCTTATATTCAGAATAATTTAATTCAACTTGAAAGACGTAATTTGCTGCAAGGTAAAAGAGAAAGTTCGACATTAGTCTTCTCTTGGTTCACAGAAGGCTATAATTTTAGAATAATTAGATTTAAGAAGTTTAGTTTCACATTTAATGAAACAAACATTTTCTTTACTCGTGTTTAACAAAATGAAGCTTTTATTCTTCAGTCATTGTCTCGCTGTTTGATCCTTCATTTAGTTATCTATTACTTCATTTATTTTTCCACAATTTGAAATGTTCCAAATAAAATTGTTAACGATTTAAACTTGAATTAATGTATCTCTTGGTTTTTGTTTTGTTCCTTTAGAAAGAAAAGGTGTACATTGGGAAGCTGAACATGATCCTTGTTCAGGTAAGAAACAAGTAGAACAATCTTGTTACTAAATGAACCGTTGTACTTCCAGAACCCTGCTGCTACACCATGAGACTGCCCGACTCCTTTGAACTTTTCTTTGTAACCGTGTGCTTTTGCAGTTGTTATAGCCCATTACCTGCATTACATGTGACACAGCGCCTGTAATGGAAAATTAACCAGTCTGGCCCTTGTGTAACCTTTTCACTTTTGGACTCGCCTGTATAGTTTCACACGTAGGGACACTGTTTATGTCCTCAGAACTGGATTGGACCAGCTCAACTCAGCCTGCTTCCTTTTCTTATGAATAAGTGTTAACCACATAGTGCTGCACCGATCAGCCATAACACTGTGAGCACTGACAGGTGAATAACACAGAGGGGGAGGATGTATCAGGCAGAAAGTGAACATTTTCTCCTCAGAGTTGAAGGAAAAATGGTTGTTGGGTCAGAGCATCTCCAAACAGTCGGAGAGCCCAGTGCTCACGATGTGACGGCTGATCGGTTTCTCGTCACACTCCTGCAGACTGCTTGCACTCTGTGTGACTGTTTGACCTTGTTTGCAAAGATTAAACTACCTGAAAGACTTCTCAAGTCTTTATTTCAGATTTCACCAATTAAAACTTCCACAACAGCTCCTCAGCCTGTGTGTGCTTTAAAGCCTGTAGAGTTGGCTGCAGTGTTTATTTTACCTTTAAAAACCTTCAGCAGCAAACTTTCAGTGCTATTTACATTATTAGTTAAAGCACTCTCTCTTGTCAACATGGCTTCAGGCACAAAGACAGAGTTTCTGTGTTCTCCTCCGTTACACATGACCAGTCTGCAAGGTGTTTTGTTATTGATCAGTAGTGTCGTCTATATGAAGCCCAGCCCTCGCTGTGGACACCCCAGCTGTTAGAAACACCTCATTGTGCTCTGTTGAAGCACTGGAATGTTTTCCCAACCCCGCAGAGTCGCATGTGAGTGAATTGTGGCGAGGCACAAAGAAGTGGCAGCAGACAGTTTCAGTGAAGTTATCCACAGCGACAGCGAGGGAGCTCAGTTCAAGCCTGCTACTCGTATCCACCTCATTCAGGGTTCCCACTCGCTCCTGGAAAACTTGGAAACTCAGACACTGGTTTTCCAGTCATGGAAAAACCTGGAATTTGACCAAAATGACCAAAAATCATGTAAACAGTTTAAATTGTCCTGGAAAAGTTTAATATTATTTTAGCTCCTCGCCTTGTTTGAAACTCACATCTTCATACATACAGTTTATTAATGATCAAATGTGTTGTTGGCTGTTAAATACTTTCACAGTGATGTTAACTTCAACAAAGAGAACAGCCTTTAAAAAATGTGTGAATACAACCTGTAAATTATATGACCAAGTGCTGTCCTGTAGAAAACCCTAGAAATGCCCTGAAACACGGTTTCTTAAAGAGTGGGAACCCTGTCGTTACCTCGGACAGTTGAAAGACACATGGCGATACCGATAACACCAGACAGAACTAGAATATAATTTACAGAACAACATCTGTGGTCCTACTGGAGACTGTAACAGCTTTGGTTTGCATTACAAACATTATTTCTCACTGGCTGCTGCTGGAAATCCCCCAGACAAGGTGGGGGCTAACTTGTCACTGTGGTTCCTGAGGGTTTCTGCAGATGGTTTAAATGTAGGTGCAGTAGATGATTATACGTAATGAGTTATAGTAAACAGATGAAGCCTTCTGTCCTGGTAGACTGGAGGGAAACATGTAAAGGCACATTTAAAGTGAAGCTACAGAGAATCCAGTTAATACTCTACAGTTCGTACAGAAAAAGAGACGCACATGCTGACAGTCTTTTTTAAATAGACTTTCAGGGTAACAGTGTGGGTTTGGGTGTCTTAGATCTGCCTTGATGCTCCTCTCAGTTTTTGCAGTGATACTTTTTAACCTGAAGATGTCACTCTTAATTGGTCTATCCCACTCTGCCAGTTAAACTGCATATTTATTCTCCTTCAGTGTCTCAGGCAAGTTTTATAAATTGTCGCTGTGGCCTGACGATGGATCAGACGATCACCCTGAAGAGAGAGTTTGTATGGAAACATTAGCATATAAGATCTGACGCACAATTCAAGTACAGAACAATATTATATAACAAATTGTGTCAGTGATAATTGGACCCATAGTCCACGAGAGCTCCTGTAAACAGACAACGAGCTGTTTACTGCTCGGTGCTGTCTGATCAACAAACTAGTGCCGCCCACTTCAGGACAGAAAAAGACCTTGAGAGCGACGGATTAGACCGACGGGGACTTATCGGTGTCCACGGTCTGAATTTTGCTCCTGAATGTAAAACAACCTCCCATCCTTCCACCTCCGTGTGTGTGTGTGTGTGATGTACGTTCGCAGGAGGGAGACCGGCTCACTGGCTACATGTCAGTGACTTTGCATTAATGCCAGTGAGAATGAGTCACTGCCTGCGTCAGCTGAGCTAACATTGTTTCGGCCTTCAGGGACTGTAGAGCTCCAGATTCCACGCTCCACCGAAGGAGGCTGTGTTTGAAATGTTTGTGGACGTTTATATGTTGTATGCATTTGTAGTAGTGTGCAGTTTGCTTGTATTATGTCACTTCATAAACACAAATCTGCTGTTTGTTTCGTAGTAAAACACTCGTCTACAAAGCAGAAACGGGGGCACATGCTTGAGTCGAGATTGAAAGGAGGGGTCGTATTTTTAGCACAGATTCGTCCCTTCAATTTTTAATTTTCAGATCACACGTGCTCAGTGGAAAATGTCATTTCTGAAGCATGTTAACGCCGATATGTTTCTGTATGTGTCTGCAGATCCTGAAGCAGGAGTGGCCCAAACACTGGCCCACCTTCATCAGTGACATCGTGGGGGCGAGTCGGACCAGCGAGAGCCTTTGTCAGAACAACATGGTCATTCTCAAACTGCTCAGCGAGGAGGTCTTTGACTTCTCCAGTGGACAGATGACCCAGGTTAAAGCCAAGCACCTAAAAGACAGGTCAGCCTGTTCATAAAGCTCTGGCACCAACATTATTATTATCCAGCCTACAGAGTGAGACTGTGTATGTTTGAAATATTTAACTTAATTAGTCCACATTATTCCAGCACCTTCAGAGCATCACAGAATATGATTGCAGCATTAATCCAGTGATGTAATACTGTGATCTGTATCTAACGGAAAACTGTTTTGCTGTGCACTTTGCCACACAAGTCAGTCAGTACAGTTACAAGTATTAGTTGGTCTTTCAGTGTTGCTTTAAATACAGGCAGTTGTTCACTCTGTTGCTCACAGCCTGAGCGAACATATAAAGGAGCTGTCTGGTTGGTCCGTTGGGCCGCACAGCGTTTGAGGCATAATGTCAAAAAAGAATAAGCTTTATTTCCCTCATATCCACGGACAGTAGTCGCTGTTTCATTACATCACCCTGTTTAAAAGGTTTACCAACAGTTTATTTTGCCTCTTCCTCACTCAGGTGTTCCCAGAGAGGTTTATTGAGTTGGAAGTCTTTTGATTGAGGGGAAATCTGTACAAGTTAATATTTGATGTGTTCTTTCTTGGTTACTTCATACAGTTTTAATGTACAGGCAGCAGTCTCTTTGGTCTGTGTGTAGCTGTATCACTGAAACATGAATGCATCCACTACACCAGCACATGTGAATAATGGTTTTACACTGTTGTAAGTTTTATAGGTGCAACTGTAAATATAAAACTTTGATTCATCTGTCAAGACGACATTCTTTCATGCAATGATACAACTATTATTTATACTACTATTATACTTCAGGGGAAACTTTTAGAAGCCCTATTTCACACAGAAATGTATGTGTGATTGTTCAGACCAGTGGTTCTCAAGCTGGGGGTCGTAATATGAGACTGTTACTCTGTTACTGTGCCTTTAGGCCTAAAGCAGACCTGTTGACATGTTTTAATAAATCTAAAAGCTATCTTATATCTCATATGCATGTCCCATAATGTTTCTTCTCTTTCTTTCAGCATGTGCAATGAATTCTCCCAGATATTCCAGCTCTGCCAGTTTGTTATGGTACGAAAATCCTCCTCTCTTAACGCCCCGACACACCAAACCGACAACAAAGAGCTAGTGGCGGCAAAAGCCGACTCTAGGTCAGAAAGTCAACTAGAACACAATCGCACCGACCACAGCGAACCACCAACTCGCACGTACGTTCTGCGCCTGCGTGAGATGTAATAACTCTCCGTACCAGCAGGTGGCGGCAGTCTGCATTCGTCATTTTAAAAAAAGAACACTGGAACAACGAGGATGTATGCGGATATAAACAAAAGTGATCTAATGGACGTAGGTTTGTCTCCTCAGTTTCGTAAAACAGACGCTTCTAATTGAGAAAGAAGTATGATTGGTCTCACCGATGAGCTCCGCCACAGACGCTCGCTGTCGGCCCGGTGTGTCGGGGCCTTCACTGTTTAGCATCTTATTGTCTCAGTGTTACACACCAGTGTTTGTCCTTCAGCTGTTTGTCGTCTCATTGGTTGCACCTTTAGGAAAATTCCCAGAACGCCCCTCTGGTCCACGCCACTCTGGAGACCCTCCTACGTTTTCTCAATTGGATTCCCCTGGGTTACATCTTCGAAACCAAACTAATCAGCACTTTGGTGTATAAGGTGCGTAAAAGTACTACACACACACACACACACACACACACACACACAGTTAACCAAAAATAGTCCGTAACTAAACATCTGCTCTGTCTCCAGTTCTTGAACGTGCCCATGTTTCGCAACGTGACACTGAAGTGCCTCACAGAGATCGCCGGTGTGAGCGTGAGCCAGTACGAGGAGCAGTTCGTCACACTCTTCACTCTGACCATGTGTCAACTCAAACAGGTGGGTTAACCAGGCGCAGATACGCTCCTGTACTCCCCTTCCCCGCTGTAGAGATACTGACTGAGAGTTCGATCTGATCCGTGTAGATGCTGCCTCTGAACACCAACATCCGGCTGGCCTACGCCAACGGGAAAGATGACGAGCAGAACTTCATCCAGAACCTCAGTCTGTTCCTCTGTACTTTCCTTAAAGAGCACGGGCAGCTCATTGAGAAGCGGCTCAACCTCAGAGAAACATTAATGGAGGTAAGAGAGGGACGCGGCGCAGTGATCGTGCAGACTGAATAAGTCTAAAAGGTAGCTAACTGTTCCCTCGCTCCTCTTTCAGGCCCTCCACTACATGCTGCTGGTGTCGGAGGTGGAAGAGACGGAGATCTTCAAAATTTGCCTGGAGTATTGGAACCATTTGGCCGCCGAGCTCTACAGAGAGAGTCCCTTCTCTACGTCCACGTCCCCGCTGCTCTCTGGCAACCAGCACTTTGACGTGCCACCACGCAGACAGCTCTATCTTCCCGTACTCTCCAAGGTACCTCGCACAGCCGATTACATTCAACCTAACTGCTCGATCCAAGCATCAACACAATGTCCCCTTTGTCCCTGTGATGGCATTTGGACGCACGTTGATGTAATATGATGCAGAATGATGAGTTAATGCAGGGTTCATGGACCCTCACGATAGATAGATAGAAAGAGAGATAGAAAGATAAATATATTACTGTATAAATTCTTATAAAATACATTAATTGTAGAGGTGAAATGTAAATAATAAGAAAGTCATTCCATCCTTATTTTATTTCAATTTATGCTGCTAAATTATTAAATTAAATAAACGGTGTGTATTGTTGTATATTGT